TTCCATGTCCTAGTCTCCAGGGCAGCAGAAAACAAGTTCGCTCCCTCCTTCCTATGACTTCCTCTCATGTATTTATACATGGCTATCATGTCTCCTCTCAGCCTTCTCTTCTTAAGGCTAAACATGCACAGCTCTTTAAGCCGCTCCTCATAGGGCTTGTTCTCCAGACCCTTGATCATTTTAGTCATCTTTGATGATCTGTCCTTCCTTCCATTCTACGAGTTTTCACTTCCTCCTTGAGATTGCTATGAAATCACATTGGTTTCCTCAGATGTTTCCAATATGCCTTCTTCCATGGGATTTCTTGTGTTTATGCTTTTTTGCAACTCATTCTTCATGAACCCCCAGCCTTTTTTCTTTAGTATCTCAAACCATGAGAATTCACCCAGTAATTTCTTGAACTTGTTAAACTCTGTTTTCCTGAAATTCAAGGTCAGTTTTGACTATATTGTTCCCTTTAAATGATAAATAATATGCAAGTCACATTAGGAATTTGTTGGAGAGTCTATGTTTAGCAGAGTTAGTCTCCCTACAGATTTCAGGGTAATTAAAGCACCCATAACTATGAAATCCATGAGAGAGATCATAGCAGACCAGTTGAGAGCATTTAGATAAAAAAATAGAAGCAAATAAATGCTACATTGTAATAAAAGTTTATTACAGGCCACCAAGCCAAGAAGAGGTTGTGAACTATGCTTTTTAAAATCAAATCTCAGAAATTAAATGTTATTGTCAAAAATGAGGAATTATCCCTTGAGAAGTATTATAAGTCCTGCAAGACCAAGGAAGCTTAATGAGAGAGAGAAGTATCACCTAACACTGTAATTATCGGAAAAGGCCTCCATTATCAAGCATTTCTGGGTGCTCTGCCTTGATTTGTGCCCGAGCAGCTTGAGGGGTAGCCATACAGGCACACATGTTCTAGTTCAAACTGAGATGCCTGACTTCTGTATAAATGCAGAGAGGCAGTAGGTGTGACATTAAAGATATACAGTTAACTAGCAGCCATGGAGATTAATAGTGTTTCTGATTGCTTGAGCGTTACTATTAAAAATAAACCTAAATAGCACTATACACCATACTATACCATGCCATAAACTCTGTATTGATTTGATAGTAATATTGAAATATAGTAATTAAAAGTAAATTAAGAAAATATTAAGATTTAATCTTATTTCTTTGATTTTTTTTTTGTTTCTTTGAGAGTTCAGGTTGCTTGGGTTCAGCTTAACTGAGAGTCTGCCATTTTTGTAAAAGCTGCTGTTTAATGGTACTGTCACTCCAGAGATAGTCCAAAATAGACCCAGGAAAGAAGTGTGCATGGCCTTTTAACCTAATTCCAAATTTTGCTATGAAGCAGCACACACACACACAGCTTACAAAGTATATTCTTCAGGTTCTTAGGCTGGATCTACACTGCCCTATACCCCAGGACTTGATCCCAGATTATCTGCTTATCCCATATTATCTGTCAGTGTAGACACATATAAGCCAGTTCAGACAATCTGCTTTTTAAACAAATGTCTTGGTTTCCCTACGAATATCTCAATCCTCAAACACTCTTTGCTTCATTTGGAAGAATGCTGGCCTCGCAGAGCTCTGATGGTGACAGTGGGGGGCGGGGGGGGGGGAGTATTTAGTCAGATACCAATTGTACAAGTTCTCCCACTTTAAAAGATGAGAGAGGCCTGTAATTGACATCATAGGTAGACTTCAACTATGAGAGACAACATGAGAAGGAAAAAGTGAGCCCGAGCGCGGCGGGGGGTCCTGCCTTCACATTGGTGTGAACTGCGGCGGAGAGTTCCGCAGTTCCTGGATCAAGTTTTTGGGACCAACAGATGAAATGTGCCCCAGCAGCCAGCTCAAAACCAGGAATGCCTGCAGCTTCTCTTTGCTTTCCCCTTCCCTTTACTTTGTATCATTTCCCTAATAAAGGTACTTGAAACTTGCAACTTTTTATCTCTCCGCTGGATACTTTTGTATCTTTCCTGGCTCAACTTGCAACAACACCAAAATAAACCTTTTTCCGGGCTCCGGAGAGCCGTGAGCCCGCGGGAGACGCCTCCGGGCGCTCCCGGGACCCCGAATCTGCGTCCGTTCAAACCGCGGATACGGAAACCGCCATTTCAGACCCCCTTATCCACGAAAATACATAAAATGGCGGATCGCCGCCGTTCCAATTTTATATTTTTCTGCAACTAATCCTAAGACTAACCGCTATCTCCTTTTCCTTGTTTTGGGCTCCTACACCCGGGAATAAATTGGTTTTGTCTAAGTATTTTATCTTGCAGAGAAACAGCTGATTGTCAAATTGGCCGGACTCTTCGTTTCTCCTCGGCAGTGCTCGCTCCCATTTGAATCCAGCAACCAGGGACCCACTGCGGCCGCCCGCAGGAGTCCCGGGGAAGCGGCCAGGCATGGGCCCCGGCCTCTGACCCGGGAGATATAGTTTCCCAAAGGACATTGCCCCATCAATTGCAAMCCGGAAATCCTCTTCRGACTCTTTTGCCCTCTCCTATTGACTTTCTGCCCCATGTCCCGGACTGTTTTYCTGCTGCATCTTTGGACACAAACTTCAGACCAGGCWTGCCTTGAAGGCCAAGCAGCCTCAGCCTCCRTGCGCCTTCATCAAAAAGACTATGATTTCTTCAGATAATAAAATAAATCGACTATTTTTTAATAAACTTSGCTGGGGATGGGGATGGGGTTTTGTTAATGAAATATATGAAATGTATGGAATGTGTATAATGAAATATCAYATGGAATGTACTCTGATCCCCCTTCCCGCCTTTCCCTCTGACCCTTGCCCCAAAAAGAATGTGACCTGGGGATTACTGCCGTAGAGAGGAACTCCTTTGTCCTCCTGAAACTGTTCTTATTTACATTTGCATGGGCCGCGCTGTTGATTCCTTCCCGACCCTGACTTTCAGAGCAGACAGTGAGGGGAGGGGRAGTCAACAGAAACTCAGGAAGAAAAGATTGATTAGATCATTTCAGGTATTGTTGATCCCCCTTTGAGGTCCAATACCGCTGAAAGCCTTCTTTTTCATACTTCCCCCCAAATCCCATCACAGACCAGGAAGCTCATTGTTCCCCTATCGGGCCCTCCCGCCAGGTGAGGACAAAGCCTCACCCATCAGCTGGCGGATGCCCTTAAGGCTGTCATTTCCCCGGCCATTATCAGACTTCGTCCCGCCTCCTAGCTGCCGATTGGTCTATCTTCGGAGGCGCTAGGAAGGCGCTGATTGGCCTCCTAGAGGCAGCGGAGCCCGCTGATTGGACAGGAGCCGAGGCGCACCGCCAAGCCTCCTCCCAGCTTTTCCACGGCCAGCCAATCAGAGCGAAGCCGGCCGGCAGAGGGCGGGCGGGATTTTTTGAAACTGTTTCCTTTTGTCTGACCCCTAGAAAATGCTTGGAAAATTCTGTAAAATCATGCTTGTATGTGAATGATCACTGCAATCGCATCCTTTTCAGCTGAATCGCAGAAATAAACGCCTCGGTCACTGAACCTCTTCAGCCTCCGGTGAGATTAATTTTTAATATTTTTCATTCTTTGGATTGGCTTTCACTGGTTGCTCACCGAGGTCAAAGGACCCCTTTAGCGGTCTGCTGGGATCCCTCCCGCTGGGAGACCCCCACAAAAGAGCTCGATATCAAAAGGAAGGAAATAGGGACAGGAAGGGAGGAAAAAGGAGGGAGGGAGGGAAGGAGGGAAAGAAGGGAAGGATGGAAAAGAAAGGAAGGACAGGAAGGAAGGAAGGAAGGAAGGGAGGAGAAGGAAGGAAGAAGGTACCACTTATGTGGGGAGGCTAATTTAACTGATTTACGGGGCCATAAAAATTTCCAGAAAGTGTGCATAAAATGAGAAAGTACTTCAATAGTGTCACAAACTGATGGTGAAGTGACCCTCGTCAATTTATAGCAAACCCATGGATTTAATGGTATTTTCTTAGTATTCTTTAATAGAAATACTCAAGAAATTGTTTTGCTAGTTCCTTCTTCTAAAATATAGCCTACAGCAGCTGGTATTTACAAGCTAACTGGGACTGTGGCTCAGCCGGCTGGATGTCAGCTGCATCACTACTGACCGAAAGATCATGAGTTCAAAGCCAGCCTAGGTCAGAGTGAGCTTCCAACTAATTTGTGTAGCTTATTGTCGGCCTTTGCAACCCAAAAGACAGCTGCATCTGTCAATTAGGAAATTTAGGTGCCACTTATGTGGGGAGGCAGGCCCGTAGCCAGGATTTTGATTCGGGAGGGTGGGGGCTGAGTCTGAGTGAAAGAGGGTCTAGCCTAGCAAACCTTTTGTATCATTACCCCAATACCCCCATGCATATGGGATATATTGAGTATGTTGATCAGATCATGATATGAATAAACATAACACTTTAAATAATGCACCAGTAAGGCCTTATCGAGACCACCATGAGAATTTCGGGGGGGGGGGGCTGAAGCCCCTCAAGGCCCCTCCCCCTCTACATGCTAATTTAACTAATTTACGAGGCCATAAAAGTTTCCAGCAAGCATGCGAGGAATGAGGAAGTACAGTGTTGCGAATGGAGGTGAAGCAACAGCTCCCCTGGTGGCCAGAAAAAGCTGGAAGGTTAAATAGCCTCTGAGTGTCTGTCTATATATGTTGTGTGTTTATGGCATTGAATGTTTGCCATGTATATGTACGTTGTAATCTACCCTGAGTCCCCTGCGGGGTGAGAAGGGCGGAATATAAATACTGTAAATAAATAAACAATATTTATTAACTGAACCTAAGACATAGGGCAATGTAAATGCAGGCTGTGGTGTTATGTTTCTCTAGCAACGTAAAACGAAACTTCCAACTGAAAAGGCATCTGTCTAACCTTTCTACCTCTATGGTGAAACTCCCTCACGGTCCGTGGCCAACCCCCGGGCGATGACGTCACGCTCCAAAATGGAGGCGGCTGTGCTGGAGATGCGGCTCCAAAATGGCGTCCATCGACTCCGTCTCGGGCGGCCCCGCCCACTGGGAAGGAGGGAGGGGCCTCGCTCCAAGATGGCGGCCGTCCTGGGCAGCGGGGAGGTCTGTTCCAAGATGGCGGCGCAGGCGAGCCGGCTAGTGCGGACTCGGGGCGTCCGGTTTTACAACGCGAGGCCGCTGAGGCGGCAGCTGGGCGGCGTGTACCGACCGGACCCTGCCGACCCCAAGACGCCGGCCTGGCAGCTGACGGGCGCCTACGAGACCAAGCTGTTCGGGCGGTATGGGGCGGCCTCCGGGGTGGACCCGGCCCGGCTCTGGCCCTCGCCCGCGCAGCTGAAGGAGATGGAGGAGGACGAGAGGGCCTGGTGCCCGTCCCTGAGGGACATGGTGGAGCGCCTCGACGCCAAGGAGCGCGAGGCCGACGCCAAGGCGCGAGAAAGGTCAGTCCGTCAGGCAGACAGTCAGAGGCCCTCAGGAAGTGTGCGGGCCTGGCTTGGCTCTCTTCGCCTCGTTTCGTTTTGGCGCCTTTCCTCCAGAAAACAAAAAGAGAGCCAGGGGGCCTTTCTATGAGGACCTTCAGTGGGTTTTGGTTTAATTTGGGCTGGAAGGTAAACGAGGCAGAAGCACTTCCTGTGTTTTTAGAAATGGTCTGCCCTCGTTTCTAATGAGGCGCCTCATTTCTTCACCTGTCCAAATGCAAGATACTCAGGCAGAAAAAACGAAATGCAAAGATACAGAATGGGGGACAATGCCTGGCTCGAGAGCAGTACGTGTGAAAAAGATCTTGGAGTCCTCGTGGACAACAAGTTAAACATGAGCCAACAATGAAATGTGGTGGCAAAAAAAGCCAATGGGATTTTCTGCATCAATAGGAGCATAGTGTCTAGATCCAGGGAAGTCATGCTACCCCTCTATTCTGCATTGGTTAGACCACACCTGGAATATTGTGTCCAATTCTGGGCACCACACTTAAAGAGAGATATTGACAAGCTGGAATGTGTCCAGAGGAGGGCGACTAAAATGATCAAGGGTCTGGAGAACAAGCCCTATGAGGAGCGGCTTAAGGAGCTGGGCATGTTTAGCCTGAAGAAGAGAAGGCTGAAGGAGATATGATAGCCATGTATAAATATGTGAGAGGAAGCCACAGGGAGGAGGGAGCAAGCTTGTTTTCTGCTTCCCCGGAGACTAGGACACGGAACAATGGCTTCAAACTACAAGAAAGGAGATTCCATCTGAACATGAGGAAGAACTTCCTGACTGTGAGAGCCGTTCAGCAGTGGAACTCTCTGCCCCGGAGTGTGGTGGAGGCTCCTTCTTTGGAAGCTTTTAAACAGGCTGGATGGCCATCTGTCGGGGGTGCTTTGAATGCAATTTTCCTGCTTCTTGGCAGGGGGTTGGACTGGATGGCCCATGAGGTCTCTTCCAACTCTATGATTCTATGATTCTAAGAGTAGAGATATGAGTAGGAGAATGTCCAAGGGCACAATGAGCCTGGCATAAGAATACCAAAATACTAACAAATCACAATAAAAAGGAAAAATTACCCAATATCTATTACCCAATATCTGCTTGTATGGCAGTGTGGACTCAGGCCCCTTCCACACAGCTGTATAAAATCCCACATTTTCGACTTTTGACTGGAATATATGGCAGTGTGGACTCTGATAATCCAATTCAAAACAGTTATTGTGGGATTTTCTGCTTTGGTTTTCGGGGTTATATGGCTGCATGGAAGGACCCCCAGTTCAAAGCAGATATTGTGGGTTGTCTACCTTATTTATTTTTTGTATCAGAAGCGAAGGGGCCCCCGGTGGCACAAGTGGGTTAAAGCACTGAGCTGCCGAGCTTGTTGATCAAAAGTCACAGATTCAAATCCGGGGAGCGGGCTGAGCTTCCGCTGTCAGCCCCAGCTTCTGCCAACCTAGCAGCTCAAAAACTCGCAAATGTGAGATCAATAGGTGGGAAGGTAACGGCGCTCCATGCAGTCATGCAGTCATGGGATGCATACTCGTTACCTACTTTTTCAGCTCTAGTGCGATACTTTTTTCTCATCCAAACGCTTGGGACAAGAAGTGTTCTGTCTTTTGGATCATTTTTCTATTTTGGAATACTAGCCTATACATATTAAAGATGTGACCCAGGACTGAAAATAAAATTATTGTATATTTCATGGACACCAGAGCTTTGCAGACTGCGTGTAGCAACGGATTTGTGTGTTGGCCAGTGTGGAGGTGTGTCATTCATATCTAATGAGTTCTCTGTGAAATAAGTAATACACAACGTATATTTCTAAAGATATAAATGAAAGGTTTTCACAAGATGTGTTGTGTTCCATACATTTTGTTACTATAATTTGTGTACAGATTTTATGATGTGTGTCCATATCTATTATAAGAAGTTGATTGAACTTCTGGTTCACTAGAATTGAATTACTTGTCGCAAAATGATGCCAGTCTAAAAAAGATATCATCATGAAATGTTTGGAAAGCTCTGCTCTACATGTTGAAGGTGATTTTATGCACTTGTATAATATATGTGTGCATGAAACGACGTTTGTGTGCATTGACCAGTCGTATGGCAAAGGTGTCATTTTCGCAGCCACCCATGTGGACACTTTTGAGATGCTTTGGATTTTGGATAAGGGATGTTCAGCCTGTCAGAGGTATCAGCAGAGCTTTCTGACTATTTCATCTAAATGCCTGTCCCTAAACAGGGATTCCATTGAATGGAAACTTGGCAGTTAAAGTGTAACAATAGTGGTGTGAATGAGATGGGCTGAGGAAAAGCTAGTTAAAAGCTACCAATGTCTGTTAGTTTGTTGGCTTCAGTAAACATAACGAGAAATGACATAAATCTTGGAAAAGTGTGTTATCTTACAAATCCTCTATTTTAAAATATAGAAATGAAAGGTTTTAATGAAATATGTTGTGTCCCCATATATAGCCTTACTACAATTTATGCATGTCTGTATTCCATAGAATGGGTTGGTTTAACACCTGTTTTGCTAGTAAAGATGAATTCCTGTGACACAAAATAATGCATGTCTAAAAAAAGTCAATCACCAACATGAAATGGCTGGAAAGCTATGGTGCAATGCATGTATTTCAAAGAGAAAAACAAAGAGGCACATGCATCTTATGATCCAGGGCTTGCTAGTTTGGCCCTGCATGGCTAAAGTGTTTTAGGAAACTGGGCCACATAGTGGCCAACTCCTCCCAGGTGTCCTCCTAACATTGATGGATAGGGAATATTGTAAAGATTGCTACATGACTGCCACTTCTGCAGCTTCAGAGTTGGAAGGAATGTTACCTATTCATCATGTACAAGTAGATCTACTGTTGTCTACACTTACGATGGAATAAAATGTTGCTACCCTAGACTATATGTAAAAAAACGAACCTATGTGGGTTAATCACTATAAATAAGATAATTGAGTTTTACTCCTTCAAATTTGTGAATTTAAATTATTGACTCCACACAATGGCCTATTCTTCATCTACAATTGTTAGATTAGCTTTATAGCATATGTTCTCAGCTTGCCTTTACCATTAAAAGCATTGGGAGCTCATTCGTTGCTAATAATGAAGGCATTTGCCCCCATCAAGCCAAGAGTGGGAATTAGAAGTTTGGGGTTTGTAAGCAAGACAAGCCGAAAATTACAAATTACTTCTTGTGGGCATATGCTATATTTTTAATTCCTTAATTCAGATGTATTGTTTTTCTTGAGGAAGTTACCCCCTCTAAAGAGCTGGGACTACGGCTCTCCTTGTCCAAAGCCAGCATGGCCCGACTTGGGGATAATTAGAATTATAGCCAACAAATCTGGATGCTACCAAGGCAAAAAAAAAAAGCTCTGTCAATATATGTGAATTAATAATTTCAGTTAAATAAAACGTAGTATGTCAGGAAGCATCTAAAGAGAATCTGTCTTTGAGGAATCAAGAGGTTTTTGACATTTGTTTTTTCTCACTTACAGAGAAGAGCTCATTGCTTCAAAAATGGCCAAAATGCCCCAGATGATAGCAGAGTGGCAGCAGGAGAAGGCTCTGAAAAAAGCAAAGGAGCTGGAAGAGAAAGAGCGGCGACAGCGCCTTCTGGCTGAGGCCCGTGAACGATTTGGCTACAACGTGGACCACCGCAGCCCCCAGTTTCAAGAGATGATGCAAGAGATGGAGAAAACTAGACGGAAGGAACAGAAGCTGCTGAAGAAGAAGCGCAGAGAAGAGTCCTTGGTCAAAAGAGCAATGGAAGGAGCAGCGGTTGCCTCTGTTCCCACCAAACATGAGGAGGTTGCTACTACAGAGGTCCCGCACCACCAGGTTGCACAGACTACTGACTCTTCCTGAAATAAATGTAGCCTCCAGGCATTACTTTAGCTTAACAGTCCAACATGATTCCCAGAGGCCCAGAGGACACTGACTTAAGGCCAGCTTCCAGATGTTCTGCAAGGGTGGGACCTGCTGACATAGTCAATACTCAGGATCTTTTGACTATCCAACTCTGGTCAAATAAGAGGTTTGAGTTCCGACACCATCTCCACTAATGATATTGGATGTCTTTTCTGCCAGTGGATTCTAAGAAGCCTTGATGATAATTGCTGCTGCTGACTACATTTGATTGCATTTACAAGCTGGCTAATGTGTTGTATTCAGTCAAATAAACAAACTTGGAATATTAACCTTGGCTTTTTGGAATTTCAAAAATACCTCCCGTTAGTTAAATTAACAATGTTTAAGTAATAATTTTAGAACAGCCTATCAATGGTGCATTTATAAAATTAATGTTGCTAATTCTGCTTGGAACAAGTAGTTTGTGTCTTCAACCATTGCATGGGGAGAGGTATTTTTAGAGTAAGACCGTCAATCATTGTAGCACAGGGGGAGGGGAAGCTGCCTGCTGATAACATTCCTTCTGAAAAACTATTTAAAGCAAACATTATGGCTTAATATTGAGTCTGGTTGCTTCACTAGGAAACCTTTACGTGGGCCAAAGTGACAAACCTTGTTTTTCTTCACATTCTATAGTTTACTCAAATCAAATTCTCTATAGTGTTGTGAGCAGAGGTTCAAGAGAGATGTATGGTACTCTGAAAGGATTCTGCCATTAGTATTGTGTGTCTGTGTTCTAACACATCTTCCCCTCTTTGTTGTCTGTCTTGATGCAGCCTCTTCCACCATGTAAGCTGATAGCAGGTAGGGGAAGCTGGACTCAATGCTGGCACATCTCCTGTGCCATTCTACACAGCTGGGACATCTCTTTCAGCTAGCCAAATTACCTTCAGCCAAAAACAAGCTCTGGCTCTTGTTTGACACCCTCCATTCCCCTCCCCACATCTTCAGCTGCTGCAATGACAGTTTAGCAGAGCCGCTGGGGAATGATGCTGCTGACCAGAAGCCTTCCCTTAAACAGCATGTTGGAAGCAAATGTTCTTCTATTTACATGCATCCCAGCCTACTATGTACAACTCTTTTATTGTGTTGCTGCAGCCACAGCAAAGGCTGTAGTGAGTATGGCATCCTGCTGAAAGCAGGTTGTGTGTTGCCCTCTCCACTTCAGTCTGCGTCCTAGTTTTGTGACCACAGTGGATAGGCCCAGAGGAGCTAGCAACCATGGGAAGCGACCTCCCTCTAGTGGCACAACTGAGAAAATTCACAGGGGTGATTGGATTTATGTAAAAGCAAACTTCGTTTGATCCTAATGAGTATGAAACGGTGGAAACGGAAAATCAGATTTGAAAGGAATCAACCCATGTTCTTGAACACAGCATTGTTTAACTTAAAAACAGCTAAGTAGATGCAAGAAAATAGCAAAGTTAAAACCCTGCTGTTCTCTATCCTATGTTTGTAATTACAGTAGGTCATACAGTGTATTTGGTTCTTTCCAACTGCAGCAATCATTCTGGAGCCCCCGGTGGCGCAGTGGATTAAACCCCTGTGCCGGCAGGACTGAAGACTGACAGGTCGCAGGTTCGAATCCGGGGAGAGGCGGATGAGCTCCCTCTATCAGCTCCAGCTCCTCATGCGGGGACATGAGAGAAGCCTCCCACAAGGATGATAAAAACATCAAATCATCCGGCGTCCCCTGGGCAACGTCCTTGCAGACGGCCAATTCTCTCACACCAGAAGCGACTTGCTCCTGACACGACAAAAAAAATCATTCTATGGCTACATAAATGAGGGTGAACTAACCTCTCTGTACTATCTCTTTCCAGGTGACCTGTAAAATCATCCCATTTTTGTGGACGGGAAATAAATAACTATCGCCAAGTCTTCAATTCTTGTTAAATGAAACCAAAGCCCTTTCTATAAATTGTTTTTATTTTATTTTATATACATTTATCATAATTAAACCAGCTAGTATTGGAACAAAGATCTCTTTCAAAAGCTAAACGACAAAAATTATAACTCAGTTCCTGAATTTTTTTTAGCTAGTACCCTTGATTCTTTTTTTGGTGGCAGTAGCCACAGTGTTTTATATTTGTTGTTATCTGAGATGCACTCAAGCTTTAAACCTATAGCAGAGAGCTGGTCTTTGCTAAATTGGCAGGAAAAGCAGTTCAGTTTGCAATATAACCGTATGCAAGAGTTTAACAATCAGCTTGCACCAGAGGGAGGGGATACCTAAAACCCTAATAGATAACTAGATGGTGTTATCACTTTCATTATGTGACAACTCCTTTATCTCACTTTGCAAAACAGTCTGCTCAAATACACAAAATAATGATTGATCCATAATCCAGGATCTTCTCCCACATTACATACAATAATATACAAATAGTGGTGGTTTACTGCAATTTACATGTAGTGTTGAAAGGTGGGACATTTTTTGTCATGAAAACAACACTTATGAGCAGCAAAACCTTCTATTCCCTCTCCCTCCCAATAAACATTATGTAGGTGCCCAGTTAGAAGCCCTGAATTGATCTTTTTGGAGTAGTTCAGAACTATGTTCCAGTGGGACTTTATTATTGACTGTATGAATGGCTTGGAGCAGGGCAAAGAGGCACTTTCTGGGCCAAGTTACAGTTCATGAAACTGTCTACAAAGAGAAGGCATAGAAATACATGCATGGGGATTAAATTAAAAGCAGTTAGGAGTTCTATACAAGGCAGGTCCTACAGAACCTATATAAGGCAGAAAACAGCTAAGGTAAGGCTGGGTCTGTCTCTGTATTAGCAGTCTATCCCTGTGAGGTAGAGTTGATTTTATTTAAATGGATTTGTTCTTCACATTATCCTGTCTTTCACACAACTTACTGCTAACCTAATACTTATTCAGACATTCTCACAAGGGTGACACTGTTTGCATGCCTCTCCTTGCCAGAATCTCTCTTGCGGTACATTTGTACGAGGGGTATTTTTTAAGTAAGGTCCATTTTGTTGTAGACACTAGTAGATCGCGCGCATACCGCAACGAGCACGTGTGTCCTGTACCGGCATGCCTCGGGAACAACTGTGCTCAGTTTCCGCTCTGTAGCTAACCTGTACAGTTCTGTTCTGTGCTTTAAAAATGTTTAAGACTATCAACTCACCCTCCGCATGTGAGGTTCGCTCAGTGATACGGTTTTTGTCAGCAAGGAACCTGCCTGCTGCCGAAATTCATCAACAGATTTGTGAAGTGTACGGTGATACTGTTATGAGTGAAAGCAAAGTGCGTAAGTGGGTACGACAATTCAAAGATGGCCGTGACAACGTCCATGATGAGGACCGCTCCGGTCGCCCTTCTTTGATTACAGTGAACTCTTGGTTATCAGAGCAGGCGGCAAGTTTTTATGAAGAGGGTATTTTAAAATTGGTTCAGAGGTATGATAAGTGTTTGAACAAACTTGGCAACTATGTCGAAAAATAGAGTGAAGTATGTACTTTCTGAAAATAAATTTACTTTTTTGAAATAAACTTTCGTTGTGTACTTATGTTCAAACGGACCTTACTTAAAAAATACCCTTCATATTTATAACAAGATGCACATTTAGCAGAATAGTCTAGATGCCACTGCAATAAACTTGTGTTGTCTCTTGCAGCCAAAACTGGTGTCAGCTTAATGTCTAAAATTGGACATGAACTTTCAGCCCAATAAAGACTGGAACAGTATATCGTGTGACAAATAAAACGTATGGTGCTGCAAGATTTTATATATATTAGAGCTAGCCTTGTCCTGTTCCAAGTTGTGTCAGAGCTCCCTTTATTGTTCCAAATTACCATGAATTAATGCATGAATGTTATTTATTCATTGGAAACGGGCTTTTAGATGGGTCAGACTGTAGATGTGAGAAATCATTGTGGAGACATTTGTGAATGGGTTCCCATGGATTCGCAAAAAGTAAACAATTCAAAGTACTTCAAAATCCTTTAAACGTTGCAGTAAGGAGGCAGGTTGCACACAGAGAAAAAGACTTATGTTAGCAAGCTACAATGGTCATGAGTCAAAGGCAATCCATCCTTATCTTGTCTTGGAGCCTCTCTCCATCTTCATCTGTCTCACAACCAAAAGGCCTATAGGTGAAGTGCCGCTGCAATGGGAAAAGTGCCAGTTGAGTGAACGATTTAACTTGCTCCCTGAAAATATTGGAAAGCAACAGGCTACAGCCAAGGGCAGGGGAAGAGAAAAAAAGCAAATGAAAGCAGCAAGAAAAAGTGATTGCAGAACCTTCCATAACAAGGGACTTTCTAGAAGACATTTTTAACAAGGGAGAGGCAGGATCAGACTTCACAAGAGTGCAGCGACTGAACAACCGGGGGGGGGGGGGGGGGGGGGGGGTTTGAAGTTGTCCCTTTCATGCCTTTCTGCTCTGCTACCATGCATGCTACTTTAAAACATAATTTACAACCTAAGTGCTTTTAAAACTAGCAGTGCTAAAATTGCATGGAGCCAATTCAGGCTCGGACACAGGTTTCAATACCTCTTTAATCAGCACCCCTGAGAAAAATACATAGCAAGTCATTGCCAAAGTATGCACAAGATCTGCAGGAGAGCTCCCATCTAACACAGATCAAATGTGCATACATAGTATTTGAATTCCCTGGTGAAACTTGCTCCAAGAGGCTGATGCAATAAACTGACTGAAAGGTATACAACAGGGAAGTCCACCAGTAGTTTTTGGATGTTCTGTACACACAACAAGTGCTGAGTCTTCATTAAAATGATGGAAGAAGTCAATCCATATTTAGTTTGTTTCTGTAGCGGCCTAGCTGTTATTATTCTGGGACATTCATTCTGAAAGCCCCCAGTGGCACAGTGGGTTAAACCCCTGTGCCAGCAGGACTGAAGGTTCGACAGGTCGCAGGTTCGAATCCGGGGAGAGGCGGATGAGCTCCCTCTATCAGCTCCAACTCCTCATGCAGGGACATGAGAGAAGTCTCCCACAAGGATGATAAAAACATCAAATCATCCAGGCATCCCCTGGGCAACGTCCTTGCAGACGGCCAATTCTCTCAAGTTTCTCAAGTCGTTCCTGACAGAACAAAAAAAAAAATTTCTGAAAGTCTTTAAACTATTAATCTGTCTATGCGTGCAATGACAATCAGTTGTTTTCTGCTTTAAGAGTATGAGTCTGTAAACTTTTAAGGGCTAGTAAACAGCTTGTTTTCTCTTTTCTGACACATGAAAACACTGTCCTTTACATGAGTGCTGAACGCTTGAAAAAGAAGCAAGCCTCTACACTTTTCAAAAAGAGAAGGCCACAGCAGAGAGTAGAGTCACCAGTACTTGAGATAAACACAATTTCCAGTCAAAGCTGAGAGTCATTTCTAAGTTATTGGCACTCTGAGTTCAAAACCAATGCAGTATGAAGGGCAATCTTGTAGTGTGGGATTTCTTGAACGAAGAAGCAGACAAGGAGAGAAGACAAAACAGAATGGCTAACAAATACTAAAGAGAAAACCCCAAAAAGGACATACGGGGCACTGTGTCTTCGGTCTATTCCCAATTTATCATGAGAACGGAAGAGGACTTAGCCCTCATTTGTAGGACCCTGAGAGAGGAAATTGATTAATGAAGACAGACAGCTCCTTTCAACTTCATTAATTACCAAGCAATATTTCCCCAGCTGCTCCCTGGTTTTGAGAGCAGAAATCCAAATAGGTAAAAAACATCCTTTCCCATATACCAAGTATCAAACAGCAGACCGATAGCCAAGTGGCACAACAGATGACAATACTCAGGCCTCCAAGTGGATCCACTCTTGGAAGGAGACAGCATCCCAAGCCCCTGTACTTTGGCAGATTGTCTCTTTGGTCCAGGTACTCATAAGAACCACAGCCGTGCCTCTTTCATTCCCTAGGAAGGGCTGGCTCCATCTGCACCATTTTCTTCCTGGCCAGCCTTGAGTTTGGACAATACAGCATGAATCCTGAACAAGGTCCGTGACTCCATTGAGTAGTTCTTGTAGTGGTTCCTGTTGAGAAAAGCACTGAATAGCTGTCACATTGCACACACACAAATCTCAGCACAATATGTACTAAATTCTCAACTTAAAAAAACCTAACAACTTCAAAACTTGGATTAAAGTAATCTTGGCAGCGCTCCAAGAAAATCAAAGTCATGCACCTGCAGAAAATTTACAAACTGAGCAACTCTGCATGTCTTTTATTAGGTAGAATACAAGGTATACTCAATTTGGCTTCAAAGTTTTGCTTACACACAGAAGATCGCTTACTGATGGGGTTGTATTTCTCCAGGTAATAGGTAAATCAGAATAAAAGCACACATGATTCAAAAGATTTGTTTACTATACAGTGGGGGGGTGGGGTATTTAGTCAGATACCAATTGTACACATTCTCCCACTTTAAAAGACGAGAGGCCTGTAATTGATATCATAGGTAGACCTCAACTATGAGAGACAACATGAGAAAACACATCCAAAAAATCACATTGTCTGATTTTTAACTAATTTATTTGCAAATTATGGTGGAAAATAAGTATTTGGTCACCTCCAAACAAGCAAGATTTCTGGGTCTCAAGACCTGTAACTTCTTCTTTAAGAGGCTCCTCTGTCCTCCGCTAATTACCCATAGTAATGGCACCTATTTGAACTTGTTATCAGTATTAAAGACACTTGTCCACAACCTCAAGCAGTCACTGCAAACTCCACTATGGTGAAGGCCAAAGGACACCAGAAACAAAATGGTCGCCCTGCACCAGACTGGGAGGACTGAATCTGCAATAGGCAAGCAGATAGGTGTGAAGAAATCAACTGTGGGAGCAATAATTGGAAAATGGAAGAGATACAAGACCACTGATAATCTCCCTCAATCTGGGGCTCCACGTAAGATCTCACCCCGTGGGGTAAAAATGATCACAAGAACGGTGAGCAAAAATCCCAGAACCACATGGGGTAACCTAGTGAATGACCTGTAGAGAGCAGGACCAACGTAACAAAGGCTACCATCAGTAACACACTACGCCGCCAGGGACTCAGATCCTGCAGTGCCAGCTGTGTCCCCCTGCTTAAGCCAGAACATGTCCGGGGCCGACTGAAGTTTGCTAGAGAGCATTTGGATGATCCAGAAGAGTATTGGGAGAATGTCATATGGTCGGATGAAACCAAAATAGAACTGTTTGGCAGAAACACAACTCGTCGTGTTTGGAGGAGAAAGAATGCTGAGTTGCATCCAAAGAACACCATACCTACTGTGAAGCATGGCGGTGGCAACATCATGCTTTGGGGCTGTTTCTCTGCAAAGGGACCAGGGCGACTGATCTGTATACATAAAAGAATGAATGGGGCCATGTATCGTGAGATTTTGAGTGCAAACCTCCTTCCATCAGCAAGGGCACTGAAGATGAAACATGGCTGGGTCTTTCAGCATTACAGTGATCCAAAGCACACCATCAGGGCAACAAAGGAGTGGCTTTGTAAGAAGCATTTCAAGGTCCTAGAATGACCTAGCCAGTCTCCAGATCTCAGCCTACAGAAAACCTTTGCAGGGAGTTGAAAGTCCGTGTTGCCCAGCAACAGCCCCAAAACATCATTGCTTTTGAGGAGATCTGCATGGAGGAATGGGCCAACAGACCAGCAACAATGTGTGCCAACCTTGTGAGGACTTACAGAAAACGTCTGACCTCTGTCATTGCCAATAAAGAATAGATAACAAAGTATTGAGATGAACATTTGTTATGGACCAAATACTTATTTTCTACCATAATCTGAAAATAAATTAGTTAAAAATCTGACAGTGTGATTTACTGGATGCGTTTTCTCATGTTGTCTTTCATAGTTGAGGTCTACTTATGATGTCAATTACAGGCCCCTCTCAACTTTTGAAGTGGGAGAACTTGTACAACTGGTAAATACTAAATACTTAGTAACTGACTAAATACCCCCTGCCCCCCGCACTGTATGTACACTTCTAGTCCCCCTAGCTATTAAGCAATGCTAGCAAGGTTACCATTTTAAGAAATGGAACTTTTTTCCTTTTTTGGTGACTCCATATATTCTGCCAGTCCTCAATCATCTCTCTGTTGCTTATCCATTGTTTTCTATTATCATATTGCATAGTAAAATTTTAAGAAAAAATATTCAAATATCCCATTCTAACTTCATGGAAACACAATCTATGTCCCCTTGAAGGTGTCCTTATTTTCCTATTTTTTTTCCTGATTTTTAGAGCTGCTGTCCAAAAAAGTAAATTTTAAAGCTCTACGAAGTAAACAATACTAGATCATAGGGGGTCACCTGGCTAAGTCAGCCTCAAACCTATTTGTTCCTACTAGCTGGATCAAGTAAATAATGACTGTCTGTTCTTCAGACAGACAATCTTCATATCTATCCTCTATTAAGTTGACAGATCTTAATTATTATTACACGTTGAGCATCTCTTATCTGAAATTCCATAATACTCAAAAATCCAAAACTGTGCACATGGGTGGCTGAGATCGTGGCAACTTTGTTTTCTGATGGTTCAAGGTACACAAACTTTGTTTAATTGACAAATTATTATGAATATTGTATAAACTTATTCGCAGGCTAAGTGCATAAATGAATTTTGTATTTGGACTTGGATACATCTACAAGATATCACATTATGGACGTATATGCAAATACATTTATTCCAAAATCCGGGGGGGAGGGGGAATTAATACCAAACACTTCTGGTCCTAAACTTTTCAGATAAGGACTACTCAACGTGTACACTCCTGAGTTGCATAAATTGCACTGCTTTCACAGCATCATGAAATTCACTTACTTGGCCCTACGGAGCAGCTGCACAGCTTCCTCATTCCGGCCTTGGGACACACACAACAAGCTCAATTCCAAGAGTGCATTGGGCACCAAATAGTGATCATACCTGATCCGTTTCTCACTGTGGGCATAAAGACAAAGGAAGCCTGTTTTTATTATTATTATTATTCCAGGTCTACTGGCTTTCACATAGGAAATACAGTTAAAATAATATTTAGGGCAGAGGCTAAGGGGAGAAAATTATGAGGTGGAATATATATAGGAATCATATTTAGATTGCAAGAAGAACAACATAAATTAATGGCAAAGTACATAAAGAATTTTATAAAGCAGTGGTGTCAATACCACATTGAAACAAGTGCTGAATGTGAGAGAGTAAGTGTTTTGTCCATAATGCAAAATAGTCCTGGCTTTTATGATTTGGGATTTCATATGGATTGCCAGAGTAAAAAACTGGTTCCTGCACTTTCAATTATTTCACAGAAATGGACATTTCATTGAGTATAGATTACACTACCCAACAAAAGAATATTGGTTTTAAATACCATGCTATAATAAACCTGTTCACATTTAAGGTGCTACAGGGCTCTTGGTTGGTTTCAGAAGGACATGCATGTAATGTCTACTCATTCTCTGCATTCAAATAATGCTGCCATGGTGCAACCATTGGAAATTCGATTAAGTGATTTCTATAGCTTGAGAAATTTTAGCAACACTGGTTCAAAAACTTTGCAGCAATCATCAAAATGGTTTTAAGGCTTGTTCCTGAGGTTATTTTGGGCGCTGTTTCAGAAAATGGCGTTAGATAGAACATATCAGCTCTAGTTTCTTAGGAATGGTTATTATGATTTTCTATGGGCGTGCAACTGGTAGATGGCATATATTCTGTATCTCACAAAAAACCTAGAGCTGATAGGGGGGAAATGGTGCCATTTTTGGAATCAGCAGGTCTGTTATACCCAGAACCAGAGCTAACATGTGAGGCATCAAAATGTGTGTTGGCTTGTCAATTGCTTGACAAGCAAAACTTGCTGAAATGCCCTCTTCTGCACAATTATTGAAGGAACAGTCATTTCCAGTTTTCCTTCTTACAACCCTAGATATAATCCCTTAATGGACTTTTCAGATGGAAAAGGTAAGTAAATAGAGGAATGACAAATTGTTATGGTGCTTTTTTGCTCTTCTTCAACATCATCTCTGTACCTTTGTCACTTTTATATTTTCAGTGGGTAAACATTACAGAAAATTGGATAACGCCACATTTTTCTCCCCAACCCCAATATCTCCTTCCCAGAAAGAAAGAATAGCTCACCTGCCATGGACGGCACTGAAGCAGGCCTCAGCCTCAGCCGAACTGTGTAAATGCTTGAGCACCAGGCCTTTGAGGAGCAGCACCAAACACTGGTCATCTACCTGGTACTCACTGGCTGAGGGTATTGTGGGAATGGGGAAGGGGAGGGGGGAAGAGCACAAGGGAGAGGTGAACCAAATGAAGCAGATATTGCCTTACTACATTGCCACTTACAGCATGGCCCATATCACTGATGTAGTAATTGCTGTCTTGTTATAAACCTGCATAGGAAAATCCAGTGCCTTTCAACTCTCATTCGCATGTGGCTCTTAATGAGACATGCCGCATTATCACGGGGTGTCTGCCCCTCCACTCCCGGAGAAATTACACTGTTTAGCCGGTATCGCACCACCTGACATCCAACGGGGAGTAGCAACCAATAGTAAAAGGACCAAGGCAGAGACACCTCCGGCCCACCCCATTTGGGTATCAGCCAGCACACCAATGACTTAAATCAAGAAATAGTTTACTAAGATTTACAGAGACACTCGCTGGAATACCTCAGCAAGCGAGAGCCCAAAAGTGGCAGGCTCAAACCCAGAAACTCAATCAATGGCTGATACCAAATGAGAGACTCCCCCTGGGCACACAGAAAACTGGGTGACTGGAAGGTGCTGAACAGACTGCGCTCTGGCACCACGAGATGCAGAGCCAACCTTAAGAAATGGGGCTACAAAGTGGAATCCATGACATGCGAGTGTGGAGAAGAGCAAACTCAGACCACCTACTTCAATGCAACCTGAGCCCTGCTACATGCACGATGGAGGACCTTCTTGCAGCAACACCAGAAGCACTCCCAAGTGGCCAGAATACCAAGTCTGCAAACTTTGTGTGTTGTTTGTTTGTTTGTTTTTAATACAATACAACTGTATTGCATTGGCCTCATGTAAGCCTCCCCGAGTCCCTGTTAGGGGAGATGGTAGTGGGATATAAATAAAGTTTATTATTTATTATTATTTGGTTCGCTCCTGAGACGATAAATAAAATAAACTGGGATGATGAGAGTAGGAGTCCAATGATGGCCCCCATCATTTCTGTTTCAATGTTGCAAGTAAAAGGTGAAGCAAGGATGTCCCTCTTCATATGAACTTCCTGCCTGTTCATAACATGCCCCAAAGGTGGTTGTGAGAAAGAATCTGCAGAACTTATACAAAAAAAATTCCAGATCTTATATCCAGAGCTGAAGGAATCTGAGTTATAATGCTGTTCTAATATGAATATATTTAATAGTTAGTGTGTGTTATCTTTTCCTTGATGTAATTTGATGATGTTGTTTATTGTCTATGCTCTGGTTTTATTCTGTTGTAATATGTTGTCCGGGCTTGGCCCCATGTAAGCTGCTCTGAGTCCTCATTGGGGAGATGGTGGCAGGGTATAAATAAAGTGTATATTATTATTATTATTATTATTATTATTATTATTATTATTATTATTACTACTATTATTAAGAAATTGGGTTTTTCGGTCTTAAAGATGTAGAGGCACCCCTCTCAAATTATGACTGCTGTCTCAACCAGGCACTTGAAAATCAAGAGGGGCTTGGCTAGGAAATATATTTCCAAGACTTTTATCAATGGCTTTGATCTCTGTCTGTTTGGGCTTCACAACCCATCCGCTCTTCTGAACAGATAGCAGCACATGTCACTTGTGGGAGGGAGAAGGAGGACATAGCAAAAAGATGTTCTGGGGGTTCATTTAGTCTATGCATGTGTCCCCTGCCCTCCTCCTTCTTGTCGATGTAATGTCGATGTAACCAGCCTGTTACCTGGTGCCTCCTGTAGTCGCTTCTCAGCCTCTAACAAGGTTTCCAGAGTCCCTTCTAGCAGTTCCTTCCGCTTGCCCAGGACTGTGAATCCATTCCACATATACATCATCTCCTGGGGTGGAGGAAGCAAAGAAAGGGAATCATATTGATGATAATCATTGGGGAAGAGAAATTGCTACTATACATCAAGGAGTAAAACCCTGACTCCGCAAGGCCGAACTATGTCAACGCCTTTTCTCATCTCTACAATAAGATTCATTCATTCTCATATTTCTAGCATGCAATTGAATAGACACAAATGGTAGTGAATGCAGCTGACTATATGTCATTCAAACATGAGAGGTTCTTGCTTAAGACCAGGACAACTCTTCCACAGAGACTATCCTATGGGTCAGAGTTACATCTCTGTTTCCTTACCAAGGCAGGCACAGGCAAGGGGACATACTCGCTGGTTTTGTAGCGCCTTGCTTTGCGGATGGCAAACTTCTCAGTGGGTGGAGACTTTCCTGCAATCTTCTGTTTGAAGGAAGAAACTTGCCTGCAAGGTAAAGACAAGTGGAAAGCTTAACTTTCAACATATACACAAGCCTCTTGGAAACTAATGAGACTTTGTGACCCAGAAGAACATTAATATAGTTTATTTGGACTCCTCGAGGCTCATCTACAGAATCCAAAGAGGGTGAGGATCATCATTCAAATTGCAGTTGCAACCACTATTCACACTTCAGTCTTCCAGTAACACATGTCTGGGGCATAGAAAACCTTTTTGGCAGAGCACTTGAAAAACTTGTTCAGGAGTGCTCCAGTGCCCATAAAACTGGAGCAAATTTATTTATTTATTTATTTTATTTACAGTATTTATATTCTGTCCATCTCACCCTGCAGGGGACACAGGGCGGATTACAATGTAGATATACATTGCAAACATTCAATGCCATAGACACACAACGTATATAGACAGACACACAGAGGCTATTTAACCTTCCAGCTTTTTCTGGCCACCAGGGGAGCTGTTGCTTCACTCTGACCCGGGCTGGCTTCGAACGCATGACCTTTTTGTCAGTAATGATCTTAATGCAGCTGACTCCAAGCCAGCTACGCCACAGTCCCAGTGCCTCACCTTGCTCTTCCTCTCCAGGCTAAGCTCTTCATTTATGCTGTCCCCAAAAATTCACAAGTACATAGATCTCTTACCTAAAGAGCTCAACTTCATCCTCCCCAAAAGGTCGAGGCTCTTCTGGAGGCAGCATGCTAAGGAAGGCCGCTTTCATGTACACATACATTGCCTGTGGGAGGGAACAGGCACCTGAACTTAGATTGTTATACGTATTGTCGAAGGCTTTCATGGCTGGAATCACTAGGTTCTTGTGGGTTTTTTCGGGCTATAGGGCCATGTTCTAGAGGCATTTCTCCTGACGTTTCGCCTGCATCTATGGCAAGCATCCTCAGATTGTTATTTTGAAAAAGTAACGCATAACTCCTTCCAATAGTTTGCTGTTGTTACTTAAGACTAGTATGTTGGCATCTTGCCAACATGCTGACTTTTAGCTATGTTCTCTGCATAATTAAAATACTATACATACACACACAACCAAACACATGTAGTTATATATATATGTGTGTTATGTGTGTCTGTCTATCTATCCATTTATATGGATATTTGGGCTCCCAAATCAACCAGAAATTTCTTTGCCACCAACATTTTGGGTGTAAAGTGCATATTACTCCTTATGCATCAAAATAGGGTTACAATATTCCCTGATATTGTTGTATACCTTTTTAAAAAAGCTAATATTGTTTTGACGTTACCTTCAAAGCAACATGATAACAAGTAACGTTAGTACTTGTAATGGTTTAATATCATGCTCTGAAAAGTTCATTTAAATGGGGAGTTGTAGTTCACCTTCATCCAGAGAGCACTGTGGACTCAAACAATGATGGATCTGGACCAAACTTGGCACAAGCACTCAATATGCCAAAATATGAACACAGATGGTGTTTGGGGAAAATAGACCTTAACATTTGGGAGTTGTAGTCACTGGGATTCACAGTTCACCTACAATCAAAGAGCATTCTGAACCCCACGAACAACAGAATCAGGGCAAACTTCCCACACAGAACCCTCATGACCAACAGAAAATACTTAAGGCCATCCAATCCAACTCCCTTCATCAGGGCAAGAAAACGTAATCAAAGTCCTCCTGATAAAGAGCCATCCAGCCATAGATATAGATAGATAGATGATTCACACACACAAAGATATAGTATCATAGCTTTGAAAGGGACCCTTAAAGAAGGACAATGATATGTTGCATGTTCCAAGGTGGGCAAATCAGACATTCTCCACATCAACACTGACAAAGAAACAACAAGAAATATTGTTTACCTACAAGCATAAAGAAATTACATATATTAGAAACCAACACTTTCTCATTACTTTATTTTCCAGATCAACAGACTGGGCCACAGCAACGCATAGCAGGGGACAGCTAGTAATGTATAAACTGGCTTAGGTTATTTCTTGCTCCTTTTGAACAGAGAAAGTCCTTCATATTCTAGGATAGAGCCTGGTTCAAAGAGAACCTTCATATTCATGGTTAATAATAATAATAATAATAATAATAATTATTATTATTATTATTATTATTATTATTATTATTATTATTATTTATGCCCCGCCACCATCTCCCCAATGGGGACTCGAAGTGGCTTACATGGGGCAAAGCCCGGACATCATATTACAGCAAAATAAAACCGAAACATAAACAACAAGCGACATCATCAAAATTACATTAAAAACATATGAATACTGTAACAAAATAACATTACAATAAACACAATCACAGTAACAGTGGGCAGGCCACGTGTACAGGATAAAATGTTTAAAAACTCTAATGAGATATAAATAGGAGCAAGTTATTTGCAGGGAGCTCATAAAGACACACAGGTTGTAAAACTAAACTTCCCAGTGACAGAAGCGTTCTGGGGAACTACAGTGTCGTGTTGTGCACCTACTCGCCAAAGGCGCAGCGGAAGAGCCAGGTTTTAAGGTTCTTTTTAAACGTTTCTAGTGTAGGGGCTTTTCTGATCTCTCCAGGTAATGACTTTTGGTTTATCACTTTCTCAACACCTGCCTCCTCAGACCTGTTGTCCGTTGACCTGTTGTGAATATGTTCCCCACCTTGGACCAGCGGTTCTCCTTGCTCAGCAGATCTGCATAGAAGTAGGCCATCTTCCACATCCCTTTGTATGCAAAGCACCACATCAGCTCCCAGTAGCACATGTGGTGAAACTGCTTCCAAGCCTGCTGGACCGAGCAGCCTTCCTCAAACTTCTTAATGGCCTGGGTAGAGATGGAGATGGAGAGGTTAATAGGGCTGGTGAAAGACTGAAGGTTGAGGTAGAGATTAACATCTGGAAGCAGGATTCTTACGGAAGTGCAGAGTGGGATGCACAGAGAATCCAGGTTACTAAGAACTGTGCTGCTCCTTTTTTACTCTTTTCAATAATTGTTATTGCTATAAAATGTTTGTGTCAATCAGTGGGGAATGGCTGCTGAAATCCATCAAGCTATAGAGATCACTTAATCAGTTTCCCAATGGCTGCTGGTGCACCATGGCAGCATTATTTGAATGCAGAGAATGAGTAGACATTATATACCTATCCTTCTCAAGCAACAAAACCAACCAAAAGCCCTGTGGCACCTTAAATGTGAACAGGTTTATTATAGCATGACATCTAATGAAAGAGAGCCATTTCAGATGCATAAAGTAGGTATATACCGGAAGGTAACAACAGTGCCTATTACATTATTAACATTTGCCATTTTTTTCGTGTCAAGGGCAACTTGAGAAACTGCAAGTCGCTTCTGGTGTGAGAGAATTGGCTGTATGCAAGAGCGTTGCCCAGGGGACGCCTGGATGTTTGATGTTTTACCATCTCATGTCCCCGCATGGGGAGCTGGAGTTGATAGAGGGAGCTCAACCCACTCTCCCTGGATTTGAACCACTGACCTGTCAGTCAGCAGTCCTGTCGGCACAAGGGTTTAACACATTGTGCTTTCCTTCAAAATGCAACCAATGAAGTGATTATTTGAGAAGACCATTCAAAGTTTTATTACAATCACATTTTGACTTGGTGTTTTTTAAATTTTAAGATGGCATATCTATTTCCTTCTCCACCTTAGTATAAAGCAATGAAGAGATGGATAAGATGGAGAGAATGTTGTTCTAAGAAGAAAGTAGTGATGAGGGAGGACATGGATCCACTGGGTTGTTGTAGGCTTTTCCGGGCTATATGGCCATGTTCTAGAGGAATTTTCTCCTGACGTTTCACCTGCATCAATGGCAAGCATCCTCAGAGGTAGTGAGGTCTCGACCTCACTGCCTCTGAGAATGCTTGCCATAGATGCAGGTGAAACGTCAGGAGAAAATTCCTCTAGAACATGGCCATATAGCCCGGAAAAACCTACAACAACCCAGTGATTCCGGCCATGAAAGCATTCGACAATACATTGACATGGATCCAGCTTGCTCCTTAAATATGTTTTGGGCTATACTACCCATCGCCAATGGTCCACACAATCAAGGCCATGCTAGCTGTGGGTGATGGAAGCTGTAATCCAAAACACATTTGGATAATGTAGAATGATAGAAAATGTAGATATTATGAGCTCTTGGTAGGCATGTTTTGCTTGTTTTTAGGTATCTCTGCACAGCATATATATGCATGTAAGATCACTACTGACCAAAAGGTCATGAGTTTGAAGCCAACCCAGGTCGGAGTGAGCTTCTGACCAATATGTGTAGCTTTGACCTTTGCAGCCCAAAAGACAGTTGCATCTGTCAAGTAGGAAATTTAGGTACCGCTTATGCAGTGAGGCTAATTTACGACGCCATAAAAAATCCCTAGCAAGCATGCAAAGAATGAGGAAGTACTTAATCAGTGTCACAAATGAATGGTGAAGCAACAGCTCCCCTGGTGGCCAGAATACCCTCATGAAAAAGCTGAAATGTTAAATAGCCTCTGTGTGTCTGTCTATATATATTGTGTGTCTATGGCATTGAATGTTTGCCATGTATATGTACATTGTAATCCGCCCTGAGAAGGGCGGAATATAAATACTGTAAATAAATAAATAAATAAATAAAGTACATGTATAAAATTAAACAGCTTGTTTCTCAGTATGCAAACACAATGTTCCAGATAGGCGAGGAAAACTAACTGCTCTTGATATAACATGTACAATGCTTAAGAAAGGACAAAATGCTCCAGGTGCATGCCTCAAGTCAAGTAAACAGGACGGAAGACATAAATCATTAAGTGACAGGAGCCTAGCTGCATAAGCAGCCTCAAAGGTGTGGGAAAGTACTGTATATTAACTCCCAAAGTTCCCTCCCTCTGTTGCTTAGAGAAAGACTCTCACCTCACTGATGTTTCCTTTGATCTCCTCTATCCTCCCAGCAAAGAACAGGAAAATGGCACTCTATAAAATGGAAAGAGAAGATATCTAGATCAAAATGTTTTGGAGTGTTGCTCTTTATTTACTGTCCTGATTTAGAGGGTTTTTTAAATACTGGTAGCCAGATTTTGTTCATGTTCATGGTTTCCTCCTTTCTGTTGAAATTGCCCACATTCTTGTGGATTTCAATGGCTTCAACCACCATGTCAGACTACAACCTCTGAAGATGCATGCCATAGATGTGGGCAAAACGTCAGGAAAGAATGCTTCTGGAACATGGCCATACAGCCCGGAAAACTCACAGCAACCCATATTTATGTATTGTATTTTTTCAAAAGATTCCATTTTTACTATCGCAGAGAGTACAGTGTTACTATAATGCATAAAAAGGAAACTTTTTAAAAAGAGGAACATGAAATGGAATGAACCAAAGATGGGAGAAATTCAACTCTGGCAGATTCATCTATCCATAACAAGGACTCTACCAAGGGGTGGTGAAATCTGGTTGTCGTTTTTTACCCCAACAGCGTGTCGGATAGCCTAATTCAATGCTTTATAAAGATTCTAAAAAACAATGAGATATTATCTAATTCTTAAAAAAACACCATATTAGGCATACCAAATCTGCACCATGAAATTACAGGTGGGGCAGAAAGGCTGGACACTAGAACTTCTTCTAAGCCTCCTGCCATGGGAAGAAAATCTCAACAAATCATCTCTCTCAATGGATTATATAGGTCTTGTGGTAGAGTCTTGAAGTGAAAAACTGGCTACTTCATACCATAGGTAGCCACATTTGAATGCTCTCATATGGGAAAAACTCCTCTTAAGATTAAAACATCAGGAAGAAAGGTTATTTCCAGCCTGTTCCACTCTCACTGGTATACTCGATTTCTGCTTACAAAGGGAAAATTTTGAAAAATATGGTCTCTTCTCTTGGTGTTCAAATTGGTATAATGCACTTTGACCTAATAAGTATGCAGACAAAGAAGGTAAGCGTGTATGCACATACGAGGGTTGAATGAAAAGTAATGCCTCCACCTTCGTTACTTGGGTTTGGATGGGAATATTTTAATAAATCAAACGCAGAAATAATCCTTAGAATGTGCTCTTTAACTACCACTATTCACTTTTCCACATAATCACCAGACAATTGGATACAATTCTGCCAACGATGAACAAGTTTTCTGAAGCCGTCATGGAAGAAGTCAACACTCTGTTTTGGGTACTCATTGTGCACAGATCTTCCGATAGCCAAGCAAAGCAATAATGTGACCCACAGTTCTTGTGAAATGCCGATTATGCTTCACATTTCTCTCTGAGTGATACGACGATCATCCTGAATCAGTCTGTCAACTTTTTGCCTGTGAAACTCGGTGGTTGCTGTCACAGGACATCCAAGGATTGTGGCGTAGCTGGCTGAGTGTCAGCTGCATTAAGATCACTCTGACCAAAAGGTCATGAGTTCGAAGCCAGCCCGGGTTGGAGTGGATTTCCAACCAATTGTGTGTAGCCTGTTGTCGACCTTTGCAACCCGAAAGACAGTTGCATCTGTCAAGTAGGAAAATAAGGTACCACCTTAAAGTGTGGGGAGGCTAAATTAACTGATTTATGAGGCCATAAAGAAGACTCCAGCAAAGCATTCCAGCGGGGAAGCATGTGGGGAATGCGGAAGTGCTTCATCAGCGTCGCAGATGGACGATGAAAGCGACAGCTCCCCTGGCGGCCAAAAAAGTTAAATAGCTTCTGTGTATGTCTGTACATGTTTGTATGTCAACAATTGGCACTGAATGTTTGCCATATATGTGTACACTGTAATCCACCCTGAGTCCCCTCCGGGGTGAGAAGGGAAGAATATAAAAGCTGTAAATAAATAAATAAACCATTTGTTTGTCACGCAAGTCAAATGTTCCCACCTCAACATCTTTAAACTTACTCGCTGAACTATGCTCAGTACTCACATCAAAATAATAATAATAATAATAATAATAATAATAATAATAATAATCTTTATTTATACCCTGCTCCATCTCCCCCAGGGGGACTCGGTGCGGCTTACATAAGGCCATGCCCATCAATACAATCACCATAAACAGCTTGCATTCTCTGATGAATCCCTTTTGGGGTGACACCTTCTGCTGTCAAGTATTCAATGGCTGCATGTTGCTTAAGTCTAATTGACCAATCATCTGCGCAGGGTTCCATACTCCGCACTTTAACAACACAACTGTTCAATGCTAAGGCTTCCCACCAATGGAACTGTAGAGGAGAGTCTACTGAACAAGCCAGTACCTGATGCATACAAGTACTGCCCTCTGTTGAGGTGTTACAAAGGTGGAGGCATTACTTATCATTCAACCCTCGTACATATGGGCACACATCTTCTGAAGCCTCTGTATATTCCAAGCCTCTGAGTGGAAAAGAACATTCAAATTGTTCCTTCTTGAGATAATGAGGCAGGCAGTCCTATCAGTGATTAACACATGGAGAATAAAATGCAGCAGATGCACCTTTCCCAGCTCTTTTACCTGAGGGTAACGGGAGAGGTACGGACTCAGTAGGGCTTCAGCCTCTGAAAAATCATCTTCACCAATACCTGGAGGGAAGGACAGAAACAAGTGGGATGGAGGAGAGAGAAGGTTAATGTGCATCCCAAAAGGCTATATTTTTCCCTAAACCAAAGAAGGTTGCAAGTGTTGGCTGGATTAAAAGGTTTTTCCCTCCCCACTGCTTGAAATCTCATCATTCTTCACCACTACCTGTGCCACTTCTGTAAGCTACAACCTAGAAACAGCTGGAATTCCACCCAATTCCCACCTTTGCCCTTTAGACAATCTGGTGGCATCATTTGGAAAACTCACATCTTTGTATTCAGCCCTGAAAATATTGCCTTCCTCATTTATCTGAACTGTCAACGACTACAGAAATTCATCCACTCAAGTTAGAACACTGACTGACTCTCAACTTGCATTGAAAACCTGTTGTCTCCATGCTATGGAGAAATCTTTTGAATTTTCATTGATTATCATTTATATAGCACAGTTCAAGCACACAATTGAATAATCCTTAAAGCCATCCATAAAGATAGAATCACAGAATCACAGAGTTGGAGGAGACCTCAAGGGCCATCCAGTACAGTGCTTCTCAACCTGGGGTCCCCAGATGTTTTTGGTCAACAACTCCCAGAAATCCCAGCCAATTTACCAGCTGTTAGGATTTCTGGGAATTGTAGGCCAAAAACATCTGGGGACCCCAGGTTGAGAACCACTGATCCAGTACAACTCTCTGCCATGCAGGAAAAGCACAATCAAAGCATCCCCAACAGATGGCCATCCAGCCTTTACTTTAAAACCTCTAGAGAAGAAGACTCCACCACACTCTGAAGCAGCATATTCCATTGTCAAACAGTTTCTTTACCATCAGGAAGTTTTTCGCTATATTTAGGTGCAATTTCCTCCCTGAAATAGGAATCCTTTGCACTACATCCTAGTCTCCAAAACAGCAGAAAACAAGCTTATCCCTTCCTCAATGGGTCATCCTTTCAAATATTTAAACACAGTTACCATGTCCATTCTCAGTCTTTTTTTCTCCAAGACAAACATACCCAGATCCCTAAACTACTCCACATAGGGCTTTGCTTCCAGACCTTTGATCACTCTAGTTGCCCTCCGGACACGTATCAGTCTATCAATATCCCTCTTCAATTCCAGTGCCCAGAACTGGATTATAGTATTTCAGGTGAGGTCTGACCAGAGCAGAAAAGAGTGGGACTATGACTTCCTTCAGTCTAAACTCCTATTGATGCAGCCTAGAATTGCTTTGGCTTTTATAACTGCTGCATCACACCAAGTACAGCTTGTGGTCTCCTAAGATTCCTAAACCTCTTTCACATGTACTGTTTTCAAGCCAGACGTTCCCCATCTTGTTGTTTATTTTTTCAGCTGCTTCCAACTCTTTGTGACCTCATGGACCAGCCCACGCCAGAACTTCCTGTCGGCCGTCACCACCCCCAGCTCCTTCAGAGTAAAAGCCAGTCACTTCAGGGATACCATCCATCCATTTTGCCCTTGGTTGGCCCCTCTTCCTTTTTTCCTTCCATTTTCCCCAGCATCATTCTCTTCTCCAAGCTTTCCTGTCTTCTCATTATGTGGCCAAAGTACTTCATCTTTGTCTCTACTATCTTTCCCTCCAACGAGCAGTCGAGCTTTATTTCCTGGAGGATGGACTGGTTGGATCTTATTGCGGTCAAAGGCACTCTCAGAATTTTACTCTAGCACCACAGATCAAAAGCATCTATCTTCCCTCACTCAGCCTTCCTTATGGTCCAGTTCTCACATCCATATGTTACTATGAGGAATACCACTGCTTTAACTATGTGGATCTTCATTGCCAGTGTGATGTCTCTACTCTTCACAGTTTTGTCCCCCATCTTATATCCATGCATTTTATTTATTTGCCAAAGATTTCTTCCTGCTGAAATTCATTTTGTTGATTAGGCCCAGCTTTTTAATCTGTTAAAATTATTTTGGCTTCCGATTCTCTCCTCTGGTGTATTAACTCCACCTCCCAATTTGATAGACTGTTCATACTATTTATTATTTACGACATTTATATGCCGTCCTTCTCAACCCAAAGGGGACTCAGAGAGGCTTACAAGATGCATATACATACAATATATTATATTATTAGCATAGTACAATATCAGTATTATATATTACTATATTGTATTATACCATTATATTGTAATATTAGTAATTATTAGTAATTATTAGTAATATTACATGTAATTTGTGTTACAGTAAGTCGTAACAGGACCAAGTATGTGTGTGTTAAAGAAAACCTTATGCTGTTAATTATTATGTGCAGCTGCTAAACTAGGTCAGCTAGTAAGTTTGAGCCACACCCGATGGGGTATAACTGTATATGTTTTAGAATACAGTTTAGCTCTATGCTAAAAGGCTTTGCTCTGAGGAGCCTATGCGCTGGCATTTTGCTCAACTATTTGTTCTGCTCTCTCATTTGGATGTAGATGAAGATGCCTTATTCTGCATTGCTTACAAGGACTATGTAAGTTTGTTGCACTGTTTGATTCTGTATGCAGCACTGCAAGTTTTTTTTGTTTAACTCTGCTGATAAGAGTAAAGTTATCTGTTTTTTTGTTTTTTGTTTTTTTGGAGCCCCCGGTGGCGCAGTGGGTTAAACCCCTGTGCCGGCAGGACTGAAGACCGACAGGTCGCAGGTTCAAATCCGGGGAGAGGTGGATGATCTCCCTCTATCAGCTCCAGCTCCTCATGCGGGGACATGAGAGAAGTCTCCCACAAGGATGATAAAACATCAAAATCATCCGGGTGTTCCCTGGGCAACGTCCTTGCAGACGGCCAATTCTCTCACAACAGGATGCTCCTGACACGACAAAAAAAATCTGTTTTTTTAAAAATCTTGCCTGTATGCAATTCTTTATGTCTTCTGAACTGGACCTGACTGAAATACGCTTAGCGCAACAACTTGCACACTAGAAAGAAGGAGTGCTTGCTCTTTAGCTGAAGGACAGCCCACCGATTTGATCAGATAGAGAAACCGGCTTCTTTAGAACTTCTCAACTTGCACTGATTTACTACATCCCTCATTTTGTCTTTCCCACATTCAACCACAAGTATAAGGATTAGTATTTTCGACTCTAACTCTCTCCCCTTTTCCTTCCAAAGCCTCTCCCACAATTCTCTAAGTACTTCCTCCCCATTCTCCTTGACTCCCATACTAAGAATAAGTTGTATAGATGCAAATTAACAGAGATGAAACTGTTGTGGATGATGATCCCATATGATCCTCTTGTGGAGAAACCTTGACCCTATTCAAGCTAGAAGAGAGCTACAGGAAAGGAGCCCAGATCTTCCACCTGCAATGTTACTGAGTCCTCCCTCAGTCCCACCCTGCTCTCTAAAGTATTGGGGAGGCACTATCATGCTTTTACCTAAGATGAAGGTAAGGAAGGTATAGTAGCAGAGAAGCAGCATGGTGCAAAGCAATGCCCTCAGGTTGCTTGTGGTGGCCCCCTGGTGCAGCTGTCGCAGGCCATATTCCTAGAAGGGAAGAAAAATAAATAAATAAAAAGTATCCAGAGGAGATGGAAGGAAGGGAGCAAGGGAAGTAACATTTATTTGCCAATATGCTCTGCATAGAGAAGGGGGAAAGGAAATCACTTGGGATTTATATATTTAACGGTTGAGTAAACACAAATACAGACTGGTATCCCCTTCATCTGTATTCTGTTTACAAAAGTTGACTCTTTGGAGGAGAGCTGATTCCCTTTGAGACAGCCATAACATCATTTCCTTTTTGTTTATTTATTTGCAGCTCCATAACAATGCCTCCAAGGGCTAACATGCAGAAGACAATCATAGGTCTTTTGGGAGGACCCCTGGGGGTCGGGACCCCTGGGGGGGTCACAGGTGGGTTCAGAGGGGTCACCATAGACCATAAGAAAACACATATTTGTGATAGTCTTAGGAAACTCTTTGGCAGAGAAGATTGAAGATCTCTCCACCTGTCTTTCTCTTCCTTTTTTGGAAACAGATGATGAATCCTTACCACAAAAAGTCCTCCTCCTCTGTGATTGACCAGCCTCTCAGCCAAGGGAAGGACTGTTTCTGATACCCCAAGTTGGGAGGGGAGAGCAGGCGTGCTTGGCGCGGAGGCTGGAGCAAGTCCCTTCAAGGCATGGGGGTTCTGTGTGGGAAGTTTGACCCACTTCTATAGTTGGTAGGGTTCAAAACGCTCTTTGATTGAAGGTGAACTATAAATCCGAGCAACTACAACTCCCTCATGTCGAGGTCTATTTCCCCCAAACTCCACTAGTGTTCACATTTGGCCATATTGAGTATTCGTGCCAAGTTTGGTCCAGATCCATCATTGTTTGAATCCACAATGCTCTCTGGATGTAGGTGAACTAAACTCCAAAACTCAAGGTCAATGTCCACCAAACGCTTCCAATATTTTCTGTTGGTCATGGGAGTTGTGTGTGCCAAGACTGATTCAGTTCCATTGTTGGTGGAGTTCAGAATGCTCTTTGATTGTAGGTGAACTATAAATCCCAGCAACTACAACTCCCAAATGACTTAATCAATCCCCTCACAACCCCACCAATATTCAAATTTGGGCATTGGTGCCATATTTGGTCCAGTGAATGAAAAAAAATCTGTTTATCAGATATTTACATCACAATTCATAACGGTAGCAAAATTATAGTTATGAAGTAGCAACAAAAATAATTTTATGGTTAGGGTCACCACAACATGAGGAACTGTATTAAGGGGTCATGGCATTCGGAAGGTTGAGAACCACGGGTCTAGCAGATAGCAATTCCATAAGCAGAGACCACAGTCAATTAGATAACTATTCTGGACTGACAGCATTGCTTCTACTGGCATAACAAGTCATTTTGCCACCACAAAATAAACTGAAACTATGTGGCATTAACCTAATGGTGCCCCCCACCCATCCCATAAAAAACTTCTATGTGGAATCAGATTCATCACTAAGATGTTTGCATGTTTCCTTAATGCTTCTAAAATACTGGAACTGCACAGGTCACACTGGACCTACCCACCTGTAAGTTTCTTTTGGTTCTAACCTGGATGTAAGGAAGTCACTTGCCCTGAGCCCTAGGAGAAATTCTTTAAATCTCATGTGCATTAAAATAATTGATAATATAATAAATGCAATAAAATTACTGACTCCACAACATCTCCAGCTTAGGTAAACAGGCTGAGAAAGATTTTTTCCATCTCAGGTTTTGGGTCGATGCCACAAGTGAAAGTAGACATTATTGGGATGTATGGTCCAATGGTTTGACTCTAAAGAAGATAAATATAGTGTATCATACCATATCCTGATGCCTCAAAACACACACACACATACATACCTTGTCTCCTGAAAATCCAGCAAACTCCAAGAGTTTCAGGATCCGGGGTGGAAAAAGAGAAAGAGTCTGTGGAAGAAAAACATCAACATGAAAAACAGCTGAGATGCTTTTGAGCACAGTTCTCAGCTTGGACCTGTCATGTCCAATTGATCTGAGTCAGCTAAATGGTTCTGGCCCAACCTACCTGTTTCCTCCTATGAACCAGCATCTCCTCCTATGAACCAGCTAGGACGTTAAGATCTTCTGGGGAGGCCCTGCTCTCGATCCTGCCTGCGTCACAAATATGTTTGGCAGGGACAAGAGACAGGGCCTTCTCAGTGGTGGCCCCTTGGCTAGGGACAGCCCTTCCTAGAGTCATTAGATCGGCCCCTTCTTTGTTAGCGTTTAGTAGGAAAGTTAAAACCTGGTTGTTCGAGCAGGCATTCAAAAAGGCAGTGTAACAAATATAGGAACATGGAAAGACTGGATGATGAGACTGGATCCTGATTCTAACTAAGAGACGCTAACAAGTTATGTTGTATTGACTTTGTAATGATTGTATATTTATGCCATTGTTTTTAATTGTTTTTATGATGTTGAGCACTGAATTTTTGCTACTGTAAACCGCTTTGAGTCACCCGAAGGGCTGAGAAAGTGGTATATAAATGGAGTAAATAAATAAATAAATAAATAATTTTTTTCAGTGTAACTCCAGTCACATACAGACACACACACACAAGCTTTGCATAGCATAGTTGTGTTTATTTTGCTGTCTGTGCCCCCTGATCAGATTTCACCTCACTTTCTATCCCTGTGATAATCGGATTTTGAAAAAATTGGCTAGTTGTGGACGTAAGGATTGGTGATAAAGCTTCAGCGGAGACACCTTTTCCCCATAATAACACTTTCAGGAGTTAATTTCCCTTCCAAGGGGAGATTTCTCTCACTTCCTGTTGTCTCATGCCTGTTCTTAACTATTTTACATCAGATGTTTTCCACTGACATTAAGTCTAGTTGAGTCCAACTCTGGGAGATGATGCTTATCTCAATTTCTAAGCCAAAGAGCTGGCGTTGTCCATAGACATCTCCTAGGTCATGTGACCAGCATGACCGCATGGAGTGCCGTTACCTTCTCACTGAAGTGGTACCTATTGATCTACTCACATTTTGCATGTTTTCAAACTGCTAGGTTGGCAGAAGCTGTGGCTAACTGTGGCAGATATAACTACCGATTTTTTGGTCAGCAAGTTCTGCAGCTTAGCGGTTTCACCCGCTGTGCCACCAGGTTAAGCTGTACCACTTATTCTACCACAGACAAATGAGTAGCACTTTGCTTAATTTTGCTTTGGCATAATAACCAGTAAGCAACAATTTAACAGTAGGATTGAGTTGGAATTGTACTAGAATAAATTCGGAAGAGTACATTCAAATCATCCTACATCAGAGAGGACAAAAGTGCGCCAGCTCCGACCATTCATATTTTCTAACTTCCATCCTAGTAATACATAGTTAGTCTATTTAAAGAACATAGACACCTTTGAGACCAACTGACAGAATGAAGTCAATAACGTAAGTTTGTGTAGACTAAACCTCCTTCTTCGGATGCACTGAGAGAAGTAGACATTGTCTATGAAAGCTTTGTTCTCTCAGTTTTTAAAGTGCTACACGATCCCTTTGCATAGTTACTCAATATAGCAGATTTCTCTTCATTGTGTTATTCTTATACTCATCTGATATTGTTGATTAAACTCTTTTGTTTTCACTAGGTTGACCATTAAAATCAGAAAGGAAAGAAAGGCAGGCTTTACCTGCCTGTAGGTTCAATACTCAAAGTTAAACAATACACGTCATGTCATCAATCATAAACAGACAAAAGCAAACAAAGTATTATGATTCGTGTCCTTATATTGCTAGATTAGTTCCTTCAGTACTAGGTCGTGTCTAATTATGTGACATGGGAAACCATAACTTCCTGTTCGTTACTGTCTATAATGTGATCCCAGGGCCTGGGGATGTATCGAACATTCAGTAATCAACACTGTGCAGTTCTAGCTACCTGGGCCAACTCAGCTTTTTTTTTCTGAGTGTGACCCAGAAAGGCTAGCCTTGATTATTCATATAATGTTCCCTAAACCAGGGTCTACCCCAATGGACATGAACATTTTCCATCATTTGAAAAAGACAATACTTTCCAGAAGCAACATAAACAAATTCTCACTCTGACTATCCTACCTCTTCCGAGCTGGGGAAGCTATCAGAGTCATACAATCCTAGAGTTGGAGGGATCCTCATGGGTCATGAACTCATGAGGACCGGGGGTATACCAAGGTGCTTGTTTATAAAGCTATTGTCCTCCCAAACCTGCTATACGCCGGCGAGACATGGACTGTCTACAGACGTCACACTCAACTCCTACAACGATTCAATCAGCATTGCCTCTGAAAAATCCTGTAAATCTATTGAGAAGACAGGTGGACAAATGTCAGCGTGCTGGAAGAAGCAAAGACCACCAGCATTGAAGCGGTGGTCCTCCGCCATCAACTCCGCTGGACCGGCCACGTAGTCCGAATGCTCAACCACCGTCTCCCAAAGCAGTTACTCTACTCCGAACTCAAGAATGGAAAACAGAATGTTGGTGGGCAGGAAAAGAGATTTAAAGATGGGCTCAAAGCCAACCTTAAAAACTCAGGCATAGACACTGAGACCTGGGAAGCCCTGGCCCTTGAGTGCTCCAGCTGGAGGTCAGCTGTGACCAGCAGTGCTGCAGAATTTGAAGAGGCACGAATGGAGGGCAAAAGAGAGAAACGTGCCAAGCCAACCCCAACCAGGCACGTCAAGCCAACCCCAACCAGGACTGCCTTCCACCAATGCCCTCACTGCAGGAGAACATGCAGATCAAGAATAGGGCTCCACAGTCACCTACGTGCCCACCACTAGTACACCGATCTTGGAAGACAATCCTACTCAGACAACGAGGGATCACCTAAGTAAGTAAGTAAAAGCATGAGCCATTGAGTCCAACCCTCCCTACTCAATGCTGGATCTACATTTAAAGCAACCCACATAGAACTGTCCAGTCTCTTTTTGAAGATGTCCAGAGAAGTAGGCCCCATTGGTTCCATTCCCGAACCGCTGTCAAAAACTCCATCTGACATTCAATCAAAATTGACTCTCCTGGAACTTAACAATCATTAGATCTATCCCCAGAGACAGCAGAGAACAGGTCTACCCCCTCCTCTCTCTGACAACTCTTGTGATATTTAAAGCATTTCCTTCTAGGCTTATTCGATTTGGCAGCCTTGACTAAAGGCTCTTACAATCCAGAAAAAATCCTTTCTCACATGAATGACTGATAATAAGACAAAGAAGAAATAGAATCTGAACGACTTTCCTCTCCTGGAAGACAAGACCTGAAGTGCAAAGTTCTTACAAAAGTTTGAAATGCTCTTCTTATTGTGGGTCACACAGAAACAGGAAACAGTGCTGCAAGAAGTGCACTAGTTAAAAGATTATTTTATTTATTTCTCACATTTATACGCTTCCTCTTGCCATAATAACTGCTTGCATTAAGAAGAAGAATGGAGCAAATGATTTGAATACTGCTGGCAGTCATCAATGCCTAGCATTTTTTTCCTTTATTATATTAAAGGGAGTTATTTAAGAAGAGATGACAGAGGTTGGCTGATAAGCCACATTCTTGTGACCATTACAAGCTCCCAGACTAGTTTCAGCTGGCCACATGTAGGCAAAGCTGTTAGGCAATTTTACTCAAGCAGCTTCCTGTAATTTATTGTAAAATCCCTGAGAAGTGCTGAAACTTTATACATTTCAGGCCAAATTGGAGATAAGAACACTTTAACAAACTAAAAGTCTTCAGTCAAAGACCTGGTGGATTACTGCAATGCACTCTACGTGGGGCTGCCCTTGAAAACGGCCCGGAAATTTCAGATGATCCAACGGGCGGCAGCCAGGTTGTTAACTGGGGCTCCTTACAGGGAGCGTTCATCTCTCCTGTTCAAGGAGCTCCACTGGCTGCCATTCATCTACCGGACCTAATTCAAGGTGCAGGTTCTTATCTACAAAGCCCTGAATGGTTTGGGACTCGTCTACCTGGGTGATCACATCTCTGTATACAAACCCACATGATCCCTTCGATCATCCGGAGAGGCCCTACTCTCGATCCCACCAGCATCGCAGGTGTGGTTGGTGGGGACGAGAGAGAGGGCCTTTTCGGTGGTGGCCCCTTGACTCTGGAACTCACTCCCTAAAGACATCAGACAGGCTCCAACTCTGGCAGTCTTCAGGAGGAGCTTGAAGACATGGCTGTTCCAGTGTGCATTCCCGGAATAATGATCCCATAGCACTTTGTCCTCCAAAGCACTTTACATTTATTCAGGTCTGTTCGTATGCCCTTCCACAAACACCAGTATCACCTTTCGTCCATGTCCCAGCATTACTTCCAATTTTAACTCTGCATTTGGCCTTCCCACTGTTTTTAATTATGTGTTGTCTTATTGATAATGTTGTGTATTTTATTGTCTATGTTTTTTTAATTGCTTGTATTGTTGTTATTATTGCTTGTATTGCTGTGTTTGGGCTTGGCCTCATGTAAGCACACCGAGTCCCTTGGGGAGATGGTAGTGGGGTACAAATAAAGTGTTATTATTATTATTATTATTATTATTATTATTATTATTATTAGTTGAAATGAGTATGGGATTTTCACTCCATATACAAAACCATCCTTGTTTACCTTTAGGGTCTCACTACCAAGTCAAATGCTATGGTAGCATCAAAAGTGACAGAATTCTCTTCAAGGGAGGTTTTAGTCTAGCATTAAGCCATCAACTGCAAATTTTCAGAACAAGCCATCACGTGAAAACACCAAATGACTAAGACCTCTCTCTTACTCTAAGACTTCTCCCCTTGTCCTTTTTAAAAAAGAAATTTTATTAAATTTTATATAGAATACAATGAAAGAGTGAGAACAATTAGGTATAGAAAAGTAAAAAAAAAGAGAGGGAAAGGCCAATAAAATAAGAAGTAAAAAGATATCCTAAATAAAACCCTAAAAAAAAAACCTACAAGAATACAAAAAAAAAATAGAAAAAAAAAAAAAGAAAGAAAAAAGACATTCCATCTTCTTGGATAAAATATTCTTATTATTCAAAAATATATATTTTTATTAAAGATAATAAAATTGTCTCTCTTGTTTTTTATATTCGCAAATTGTCCAGATAGTCATGAAGATTGTCCCAATTCGTTCTTTTTATTATCATGCCTGTATTTTTCTTCAACAAAAAAGTCAATTCGTCCATGTCCTTT